TTTCTTAATTGACATGGGGGCCAGTTGCTCTGTCCTAAATGGCCACTGTAGGCTTCTATCCTCCAGAAGCTCCACTGTGTACTTTACCCTTGAACTGCAGGATAGAAAACTGTATGGTAACTCATGAGTTTCTAGTTATGTGAGAATGTCCTACTCCTATATTGAGATGGGACTTCCTAGCCATCCTTGAAGCCACTTTACATTTATCAGGCCCTGAGGAGCCATTCTTACTGGCAATGCCTGGTTTTTCTAAGCCAGCCTAAAAAAAAAAACTGATTTCTCACAAAATAAGATCTCAAGTAGACCCACAAGTATGTGTCTACTCACATGGTCAGGGAAATAACAAAAGGCTTTATCTTCTAGCTGAACATGGACAAATATGCACAGTAGAACCCCATGGCAAAGCAACTCATGCTCAGTTAGTGATCATCTCATTAAAAGACAAAAATAATTTCCCATACAAGTGTCAATATCCCCTCAAACCAGAAGCCAAGCAAGGACTCCAATCTCTAATTGAGAAGTTTATAAAACATGGCCTCGTGGTTCTATGTCAGTCTCCTTGTAATACTCCTGTCTTCTCTGTTCAAAAATTAAATGAAGAATTTCATCTAGTTCAAGACTTATGAGCCATTAATGAGGCTGTAATTCCCTCACATCCTATGGTGCTAACCCTTATACCATACCTATCCAAATACTGAGAGACAACAATTGGTTTACTGTATTAGATCTTAAGAATGTTTTCTTTTGTATTCCTTTGCACCCTGACTCTCAGTATTTGCTTTTGAGTGGACTAATCCTGAAACTAGTATTACTCAGAAGTATACCTGGTGGTACTGCCTCAGAGCTTTAGGAATAGGCCTTACTAGTTTGAAAATGACTTGGCATGAGTATTAAGGAACCTGGAGCTAGAAAATGGAGCCATATTCCAATATGGGGATGACATCCTCACATGAAGTCCCACTAAAGACGACTCAGATAAGAATCCCATTCAAGTCCTAAATTTCCTGGGAGAAAGAGGGTATCGGGTTTCTCCCTCCAAGGCCCAGATTTCCAAACTGGAAGTAAAATATCTGGGGCATATCCCAAGCCTAGGAAACCAGATCTTGTCTGTTGAGTGAAAGGAGGCTGTCTTAAAGGGGTGACCTCCACAAATGAAGAAGCAACTCAGAACTTTTCTAGGCATGGCAGGATTATGCAGGATTTGGAACCCCCAGTATATGAGGCCCTAACAATGCCAGACCATGAACCACTCAAATGGTCAGGGAAATAACAAGAAGCTTTATCTTGTAGCTGAAGAAAGAGGGGTTTGCACAGAAATAAACCGTACCTGATGTTCTTATATTAATAATTCAGGATTAATTGAACTGCAAGTTTGAAAGATTTACCAACAGGCTACCTGGCTACATCATTTCAATAACCCCACCACTCAAACCATCTGAGACTCTGTCAAAGAATACCTACCAAGTGTGATCTGGTTCCTACATTTCCTGGGACCTTTAATAGCTACCTTATTACTACTAATCTATGGTCCTTGCTTGTTTAGCCTCTTTGTAAAGTTCGTGTCTTCTAGGTTGTAACAGTTCCATGTCGAAATATTGGTCATGCAAGGATTCCAACCAATTCCTGCCTCAGATTCAGACTCTCCTGATGACTCACCCCTGGAATCCTAAGACTAGGCAGCTGGAGACTCCCATTCCCTTTCCAGGCAGGGCCAACACCCCTAATCATCAGGAAGTAGATATAGAAGACTAACCTCCTCCTTCATCAACACTTAAGAATAAGGAATGGTGTTTTACTCCGTTCTCATACTGCTACAAAGATACTACTGGAGACTGGGTAATTTATAAAGAAAGGACGTTTAACTGACTCACAGTTCTGCATGACTGGTGAGGCCTCAGGAAACTTACAATCACGGCAGAAGGTGAAGGCGAAGCAAGGCATGTCTTACATGGTGGTAGGCAAGAGAGACAGAGGCAGGGAACTGTCAAATACTTGTAAAACCATCAGATCTCATGAGAACTCCCCTCACTATCACAAGAACAGCATGAGAGAAATTGCTCCCATGATCCACCAGGTCTCTCCTTTAACATACGGAGATTATAATTTGAGATGAGACTTGGGTGGGGACACAGTGCCAAACCATATCAGATGGAAATCTCTGTGAGGGGAAAATGAGACAAGAATAATACAAGGTGGCTGCAGAACAACAGAATAATCCAAGCAGGAGTTTCACATGACTAGCGAAAGGAAGCTGTCAAAGTAGCTGCATATGCTAGGCGTTAAGACCCTGAAAAACCATAGTGTTGGCCAAGCTGGGTAAGACTGACTGGACTCAACATAGTGCTAGATTTGATCTAGGTTTCACCTAGGACCTCATTATACACTCATTAACATACTAAATCACACACCCACCAGGGCCATGACACTTTCAGGAATACCCATATCTGGTGTAAAAATGTGTGGCACCATAGTGCTGAGAAATCTTCACTTTTTTGCAGGAATTTTCATGAATATTCCACCCATTGGTTAAAGAAACCCATAGGCCAGTTGCAGTGGCTCATGCCGTTAACCCCAGCACTTTGGGAGGCTGCAGCAGGCAGATCACTTGAGATCAGGAGTTTAAGACCAGTGTGGGCAACATGGTGAAACCTTGTCTCTAATTTTTTTAAAAAAAAGAAGAAAAGAAAGCAAACAACAAAAACGAAACCCATAAAGGTAGAGGCCCCAAACCCTGTCGGGTGCGACTTTCTTGAATACACATGCACCCCCTTTTCTTGAGTGTGTACTTTTCGCTTCCAGTAAATCTCCATTCTTTCACTATTTTCCAACTTGTTCTTGAATTCCTTCTTGCGACAGTGTCAAGAGCCTGAACACCAGCCAGGGTCAAAGTCCCACCAGCATTTGGGACGTCCCCTAGCCTGAGAGGAAAATTCAGAATTTAGTTTCGTATTTGTTAAATTTGACAGGTCTTTTAGACATCTAAAGGAAAATGATAGCAATGAGATGTTTTAGTCTAAAGCTCAGAGGAGGGGTCAAGGCTAGTAATATAAATTCTGAAGTTGTTAGCATAAAAATGGTGTTTAATACCACTGTACTAGATAAAATCATCTAGAAAATGAATATAGAGCAAAGACAAGCTACAGAGTGAAATCAGTTTCCCTGGAAGCAGAGCTTGAGACAAGGACTAGAGGCACTTGATTTACTGAGAAGTCTCTCCTCAAGAAAAACTTGTAAAGCCATGAGGGAAACAAAATGAAAAAGGGGGAAATCTGAGTAACAATATGGTCTCAGATAAAATATAGCCTTCTTCTAATCCTTGGTTGGAGCATGGTTGGCTTAGAGCCTCTGAGAGCTAAGTTGACCCACCCTGAAGCAAGGAAGCTGGGCATTCATACTCTTGAATCAGTCATCGGCTACAGTGGGGAGGAGTGGGGAATACACTTCCAGTCATTTCCTGGGAGGCGGCTCCTATTAGATAAGAACAATTCTCCAAAGGTCACAGGGATAAGCCTATAACTAGGGTACTTATGGCAACTGGGAGATGAGTAAACCATCTGATTCAAGAGATCTGGTTAGAGCATCAATGTTGGACAAAGTCAAAAATTTGTAATTCTGCATGATGAGGAAGAATCAGCAAAGGTAAAGGCAGTGAGAGGAAGAGGGAGTAATGCCCCAGAAACCATGTGGAAAAAGTATTTCAAGGAAAAGATGCAAATAAAACATCAATCTAGGAATAAATTTAATTAAAAATGTGAAAGTCTTTTTACATTGCACACTATAAAACATTATTGAATGAAATTAATGAAGACCTAAATAAATGAATGAACTTACCATGCTCATAGTTCAGAAACTTAATTTTGTAAAGATTTCAATTTTCCTCAAATTGATCTATGAATTCAATGCAATCTCAATCAAAATCCCAGCAGGAGTGTGTGTGTAAATTGACAAACTTATTCTAAAATATATGGAACCACAAAGGGCTAAAAATAATAAAGAACATTTTGAAGGATTTACACAACCAGATAACATGATGTATTCTAAACTGTAGTAATTAAGAAAGTGTGGTATTGACCCATGGATAAGCAAACGGACCAACAAACAAAATATAGAATACAGAAACAGACCCACCCATATAGGGTATATGATTTATGATAATAGCAACTTTGCAATGCTCTTGTAAAAGCATGGTGTTTTCAATAAATGATGCTGGGTCAACTGGATATGCAAATTGGAAAAAACCATGACTCCTATCCATACACAAAAATTATTTCTAGATGGATTGCATATCTAAATGTGAAAGGTAAAAGTATAAATGTTTTCAAAGAAAGGAGAATATTTATGCTTTTTGGGTAGACCAAATAGCTCAATAGGATTCAAATAGTTCTTAACATTAAAAAAAAAAAAATTGGTAAGTTGGACTCTGTTAAAATTAAGAACTTCTGTTTACTAAGTGACATCATTAAGACAACAAAAAAGCAAGCCACAGAGTAGGAGAAGTTGTTTTCATTGTATATATCTAACAAAAAAAAGAAAGTTTCAAGAGTATGTAAAGAGTTCCTGCAAGTCAGTAACGAAATGACAGGCAATTCAATAGATATGACAAAAGATTCAAAAAGACCCCTCACAAAACAAGACATCCAAATGGCCAATTGACATATAATAAGGAGTTTGACTTCATTATTCCTCAGGAAAATGCAACTGAAAACCACAAGGCAATCACTATGTACCCACCAAAAGACATGCACAAGGATATTCACATCAGAACTACCCTTAATAGCTAAAAATTGGAAATAGCCCATCAACGGTACAATGGATAGACTGCAGTGTATGTGTGCAATGGAATTCTATACAGTTATGAGAATGAATGAACTACAACTATGCATAAAAACCTCATGAATATCACAAACATATTGTTGAATAAAAGCACAAACACAGATGGGAATACACTGACTTATATTTATATAAAAATCAGAAACAGGGCTGGGCATGGTGGCTCATACCTGTAGTCCCAGCACTTTGGGAGGCCAAGGCAGTGGATCACTTGAAATCCAGGAGTTTGAGACCAGCCTGGGCAACATGGCAAAATCCCATCCCTAAAAAGAAAATACAAAAATTAGCCAGGTGTGATGGCACATGTCTGTAGTACACACCATTCTGGAGGCTGAGGCAGGAGAATCATTTGAGTTTGGGAAATCGAGGCTGCAGTGAGCTGTGATTGCACCACAGCACTCCAGCCCAGGCAACAGAGCAAGACCCACTCATAACTAAATTAATTAATTTAATTAAATAACACTCAAAAACAGGCCAAACCAATCAGTAATGTTAAAAGTCAAGATAGTATTTACTCTTGGATTGGGGTAGTGACTGAAAGGGGACATGAAAGAACTTCTGGAGTTGGAAATAATTCTATTCCTTGACCTGTAGTCTGATCACAGGGACGTGGTCATTGGTAGAATTTCATCAGCGAAGGCACATTTCCAAAGCTTGGAGGAGAGGCTGACCGGATGTCGTTCCCTTACACTGACGCAAAGCCTAGTGCAGTTGTGGGAGAGGTATCTGCAGAAGCAGTGCCGCCACCAGGGGCTGGGGCTGTCCTGTCTGACTTCGCATCCCAGCCGAGCCCACTCGAGCCGCAACCATGTCTGGGAATGGGATGGTTTTTTATCCAACTATGAGTAAGAAGAAAAAGAAGAAGAAGAAGCCTTTTATGTTAGATGAGGAAGGGGATACTCAAACAGAGGAAATTCAGCCTTCAGAAAAAAAAGAAGTGGAGCCAGAGGCAACCAAGGACAAGGATCTGGAAGCTGATGAAGAGGACAGCAGGAAAAAAGACGCTTCTGATGATCTAGATGACTTGAACTTCTTTAATCAAAAGAAAAAGAAGAAAAAAACTTTGATATTGATGAAGATGAAGAATGTGTAAAGGATCTTAAGATTGAAAATAATGTTCAAGAACCAGCTGAAGCAGAGGATGACCTTGACATTATGCTTGGCAATAAAAAGAAAAAAAGAATGTCAAGTTCCCAGATGAGGATGAAATACTAGAGAAAGATGAAGCTCTAGAAGATGAAGACAGCAAAAAAGATGATGGTATCTCATTCAGTAATCAGATAGGCCCTGCTTAGGCAGGCTCAGAAAGAGACTACACATATGAGGAGCTGCTGAATCGAGTGCTCAACATCACAAGGGAAAAGTATCAAGACATGGTTGCTGGGGAGAAAAGGAAATTTGTCATGAAACCACCATAGGTTGTCTGAGTCGGAACCAAGAAAACTTCTTTTGTCAACTTTACAGATATCTGTAAACTATTACATCGTCAGCCCAAACATCTCCTTGCAATTTTGTTGGCTGAATTGGGTACAAGTGGTTCCATAGATGGTAATAACCAACTTGTAATCAAAGGAAGATTCCAACAGAAACAGATAGAAAATGTCTTGAGAAGATATATCAAGGAATGTGTCACTTGTCACACATGCTGATCACAAAATGCCATAGAAGGACACACGATACTATTTCCCACAGTGTGAAACTTGTCATTTTAAATGTTCTGTTGCCAGTATCAAAACCGGCTTCTAGGCTGTCGCGGGTAGCGAGCACAGTTCCGTGTCAAAGCTAACTAATTTGCTAATCACTGATTTTACAAAGCATGTTGTGGAGTTGTGCCCCAACAGGTTTGCCATCAGAGTGGATACACTTAATCTTGTTGTATTAAAAACAAGATAAGGCTGGGTGTGGTGGCTCACACCTGTAATCCCAGCACTTTGGGAGGCGGGCAGATGACCTGAGGTCAGGAGTTCAAGACCAGCCTGGCCAGTATGGTGAAACCCCATTTCTACTAAAAATACAAAAAAAATTAGTTGAACATGGTGGCACACATCTATAATCCCAGCTATTCGGAAGGCTGAGGCAGGAGAACTGCTTGAACCTGGGAGGCAGAGGTTGCAGTGAGCCGGGACCGCGCCATTGCGCTCCAGTCTGGGCAACAAGAACAAAGCTCCATCTCAAAAAAAAAAAAAAAACAAAAAAAAAAACACAAGTTAAAAAAGCTGGCAGGTTCTTTGGTGAGTGGTTGCTTGGTCTGAAATTCTTGCAAGACGCTGATGCACATGTTGTTGACATATTCATTGCCTCCTTTAACAACTGTCAGAGGAACATGATATGAGGTAAGGAGGTGCTTTTTTAAAATCGTTCATAGACTTCTGTAAAATGCAAGATAAATTAAAGCTATTATAACAGTGATTCTTTCAAAAAAAATTCCATCAAGCTGAATACCTACCCCAAGTACACTGTTTCTTCATGCATGTTGTGTTAAATCAAAGTTTACATTTAAAAAAATTGCTGAGAAGTTTTAAAAGGAGAGTAATGAGAAATAAGTATTAAATTTGTCAATATGGAAGTAATTGTTGGCCTTGGGAGAGGAGTTTCAGTGGAACAGTGGTAAGGAAAAGCTTTACTGGAATGAATTCAAGAGAGAGTAATAGGAGAGAATGTGAAGATAGCAACTATTAAAAATTCAGTTTTGCTTTAAAAAAGAGCAAAGAAATAGGATGTTAGCTGGAAAGGAATGTGAATTCAAAGGAGAGTTTTAACATAGAAGTTGTTAAGGCAAAATTGTATTCTAATGGAAAAGGCTAGCTAAATCATTTATGGGGCTCACAAAAAGAAAATGCAGGACCCCTTGTTCAAAGAACGGAAAGCTTTTTCCTTTCTTCTACGGTCTTTTTCGCCCTAAATGTCATGGCATTTTTTATTTTTTTATTACTTCATGTTTCTGTATTTGTTTTCCATTGCTGCTATAAAAAATTACTGCAAACTTAGTGTTTAAAACATCAAACCAAATTTTTCTTCCAGTTTTGTAGAAGTTCAACACAGGTCTCACTAGGCTAAGACAAGGTTTGGCAGGGCTACATGTGATTTTGGAGGCACTAGGAGGGAATCCACTTCCTTGCCTTTTTCTAGCTTCTGGAAGCTGCCTACAATCCTTGTGTTATAGTCCTCTCCCTTCATCTTCAAAGCTAGAAATGGTGGCTTGAATCCTTTTCACATTGCATCTCTCTGACCCTCTCTTTTGCCCATTCTTCTGCTTTTAATGACTCCTGTAATTTGATCAAGCCCTCCAGGATAATTTAGAATAATCTCCCCATCTCACGGTTCTCAATCTTAATCACATCTGCAAAGTCCCTTTTGCCATGTAAATGACATATTCACAGATTCCAAGGATTAAAGCATGAATGTCTTCGAAAGCCTGAGGTCTGACTCGGTCAACAGAATAATGGTTCCCCAAAGATGTCCATGATCTAAATCCTTGGAGAGGGAGATGGGACTACAGAAGGATAGTCGAAGAGATGCAACACTGATGGCTGTGAAGTAGCAATAAGGGGGCCATGAGACACTTCAATTTTGTTGACACCTTGATTTTCATCTCATGAGACCTGTACTGAACTTCTGACTTACAGAAGTTTAAGATAAGAAAATTTTGTTTAGGCCACCAAATTTGTGATAATTTGCTATACCAGCAATAGAAAACTACTACAGTCACACTCCTTTGGGTACACTGTCTGCTCCCTGACTTGGCACACACATTGCACATGCCACTCTAACCCTTTAGGAGCCTATACTGAGGCCCACTCTGGAGTTAGAGGGCAGCAGAAGTTGCTGGGCAGGAGAATAGGAAGCCAAGAACCCATCCTGGGGAGGCAGCAAGAGACAGAATCATGAGAGCCAAGCACACGCTCTGTATTAGTGAGTTCAGGCTATTGTAACAAAATACCATAGATTGAGTGGGTTAAACAACGGATATTTATTCCCCACATTTATTCTTGTCATCCCTAAAGATGGCCATGATCTAAACCCCTGGAGAGGGAGATAGGAGGCTAAGAAATTAAAGATCAAGGTGTGAACCAGTTCGATGCCTGGTGAGGGTCCTTTTCCTGGCTTGCAGATAGCTGCCTTCTTTCATGTCCTCACATGGTAGAGAGAGAAAGATCTGGTCTTCCTTCCTGTCTTTATAAAGACACTAATCTCATCATGGAGACCTCACTCTGATGATCTTATCTAAATCTAATTATTTCCCAAAGGCCCCAACTCCAAATAGCATCACAATGGAGATTAGGGTTTCAATATATAAATTTGGAGTGGGGGGACACATCAGTCTATAGCATGCTTCATTGTCTCATTATACTTTACTTACAAAACACAAATCTAAATATAAAATTATTAAGTGTACAACTACAGTGGTTGAATGCCAGTTAAGTTGATCCTGCTAATGGGAATGATCCAGCAGACTGGGAAAACCAAAAGTAAAAAACAGAGAGAGAGAACAATTCAGAAGTAAAGATAAAGAGTTTGCATAGATGAGAAAGGATGGGATTCGTTTTCTTTTTCTGAGACAGAGTCTTGCTCTTTCACCCAGATGGGAGTGCAGTGGCACGATCTTGGCTCACTGCAACCTCCACCTCCTGGGTTCAAGTGATTCTCCTGCCTCAGTCCCCTGAGTAGCTGGGACTTCAAGCGTGTGCCAACATGCCTGGCTAATTTTTTTTGTATTTTTAGTAGAGACAGGGTTTCACCATGTTAGCCAAGATGGTCTCAATCTCCTGACCTTGTGATCCGCCCGCCTCAGCCTCCCAAAGTGCTGGAATTACAGGCGTGAGCCACCGCACCTGACCCAAGTATGGGATTCTATGCAGAAGTAGAAGGGTTGACCTTCAATAGGAGCATTAATGGTTTATTTCATGTAATAGGAGAGGAAGCAGAATGTATCTGTACATGTGCTGGTAAATTGTTTGATGTGGTTATGAAAGCAGGTGACAGTCCTCTTCTTATTGCTTCTGTTTACTCATTGGTATTAGAACTTTAATATCTAAAAAGGAAAGGAACGGGAAAAACGAGAGAAAGGACAGAAAAATATGTAGGTAGTTTTGAATAGAGAAAAAGTATGTAATATTCTTCTAGGAATGTTTATGAAGTGGGTAAATATAGTAAGATTTCTAGAACCCTCATGAGGGTTGGTCAGTTTGAAATGAGACCAGTCAGTCTTTAGCCTCATCTCCGCTGG